CTGGACCCCCTACAAGCACAAGCAAAACCGTCCTCGCGCACGCACTCGAACACCTCCCCTTCCACCAGTCCGCCGACGGCTCTTACCCCGCGGAGGCCAAGCGACCGCAAGGGTTGAGGCGAAAACGAGGAGAAGGACCGAGGGCCCTCCCGCGCCGGGCCACCGGGCGGGCGCCGTCGGCATTTCTCGATCCGTGGTTCGGGTTCGGGGAACTGGAACAAAAGGGAAAGAAAGGAAGCTGAGAAAGTTTAGTGTGTGTGTGTGTGTTTGTTTGTGTGCTTGTGTGTGTATGTACGTGTGTGTGTACGTGAGTGTGTGTGTTCTTTTTTCTTCTACTTTTTCTTTCTTCTTATTTTCTCCTTCTTCTTCTTCATCTACTTCTTCATCTTTATCATCACCTTCTTCTTCTTCTTCATCATCTTCTCTCCCCCTTCCCTTTTATCCTCCTCAACCTCCTTTTTTTCTTTTCTTTCTCTTCACCATCATCATCCTGTTCTTCCTCCTTCTTCTCGTTTTATTCTTCCTTATCCTCTTTCCTTTTCTTCCCCTCTTCCTTTTATTCACCTACTCTGTCTTCTTCTTCTTCTTCTTCTTCTCCATCAGCATCATCTTCTCCTCTTCCTCTTCCTCCTCCTCCTCCTTCTCTTCCTTTTCCTCCTCCTCTTCCTACTTCTCTTTATTTCCTTCTCCTCCTCCTTCTCTACCTTTTCCTCCTCTTCCTCCTTCACTTTATTTCCTCCTCCTCCTCCTCCTTCTCTTCATTTCCTCCTCCTCCTCCTCCTCCTCTTCATTTCCTCCTCCTCCTCCTCTTCATTTCCTCCTCCTCCTCCTCTTCAGTTCCTCCTCCTCCTCCTCTTCATTTCCTCCTCCTCCTCCTCCTCTTCATTTCCTCCTCCTCCTCCTTCTCTTCATTTCCTCCTCCTCCTCCTCCTCTTCATTTCCTCCTCCTCCTCCTCTTCATTTCCTCCTCCTCCTCCTCCTCTTCATTTCCTCCTCCTCCTCCTCCTCTTCATTTCCTCCTCCTCCTCCTCCTCTTCATTTCCTCCTCCTCCTCCTCCTCTTCATTTCCTCCTCCTCCTCCTCCTCTTCATTTCCTCCTCCTCCTCCTCCTCTTCATTTCCTCCTCCTCCCTCCTCTTCAGTTCCTCCTCCTCCTCCTCCTCTTCATTTCCTCCTCCTCCTCTTCATTTCCTCCTCCTCCTCTTCATTTCCTCCTCCTCCTCCTCCTCTTCATTTCCTCCTCCTCCTCCTCTTCAGTTCCTCCTCCTCCTCCTCCTCTTCATTTCCTCCTCCTCCTCTTCATTTCCTCCTCCTCCTCTTCATTTCCTCCTCCTCCTCCTCCTCTTCATTTCCTCCTCCTCCTCCTCTTCAGTTCCTCCTCCTCCTCCTCCTCTTCATTTCCTCCTCCTCCTCTTCATTTCCTCCTCCTCCTCTTCATTTCCTCCTCCTCCTCCTCCTCTTCATTTCCTCCTCCTCCTCCTCTTCAGTTCCTCCTCCTCCTCCTCCTCTTCATTTCCTCCTCCTCCTCTTCATTTCCTCCTCCTCCTCCTTCATTTCATTATCTTCACAGTCCTCATCTTCCCGCCCCCCCGTACCGTCCCTCTTTGTCCACTATCCTCATCATTGCTGTTATTAGCATTATCTTCATTTCCTCCTCTTGCAGGAATTACCCTTTGTTGACCTCAGGGAAACACGAGCATTTATTGCATCTTTCCTGCGCCATGCAACGCTCCCCTCCCCCGCCCCCCCCCTCCCCCCTCTCTCCCCTCCTCCCACTCTTCCGCCCTCCCACTCACTCTCTTCCTCTCTGTCCTCTCCTCTCACGCAGTTTTTTCGCTCTTTTTCTCCTCTCTCCTCTCTCACTTTATCTCTTTCCTCTTCTCTTTCCCTTCTCTTTCTCATTTTCTCACTTTTATTTTCCCTTTTTTTCCCTTCTTTCTCTCACTTTCCATCTCTTTTCTCCTCTCCTCTCACTTTCCTCTTCTCTTACTTCTTCCCACATTCCCCTCTTCCCATTTCTCCTCTTTCTACTTTTCCCTCCCTCCCCCCTCTCTCCCATCCTCCTCCTCTTGCTCCTCCTCCCTCCTCCTTCTCCCCCCCCCCCCCTCCTCCTCCTCCTTTTGGTTTCCGAGCACTCTCTAAGTTACTTTTAGTGACTTTTGATCACTATGGGATATTTTGTGTTACTTTAGATTATCATCACCATCCTCATCATCACCATCCTCATCACCATCGTCATCATCACCATCATCATCATCACCATCGTCATCATCATCACCATCGTCATCATCACCATCGTCATCATCATCCTCATCATCACCATCGTCATCATCATCCTCATCCTCATCATCACCATCCTCATCATCACCATCGTCATCATCATCGTCATCACCATCACCATCCTCATCATCACCATCGTCATCATCATCCTCATCATCACCATCCTCATCATCACCATCGTCATCATCATCCTCATCCTCATCATCACCATCGTCATCATCATCGTCATCACCATCACCATCCTCATCATCACCATCGTCATCATCATCCTCATCATCACCATCCTCATCATCACCATCGTCATCATCATCCTCATCCTCATCATCACCATCCTCATCATCATCGTCATCACCATCACCATCCTCATCATCACCATCGTCATCATCATCCTCATCATCACCATCCTCATCATCACCATCGTCATCACCATCCTCATCCTCATCATCACCATCGTCATCATCATCCTCATCCTCATCATCACCATCGTCATCATCATCACCATCGTCATCATTATCGTCATCACCATCACCATCCTCATCCTCATCATCACCATCGTCATCATCATCGTCATCACCATCACCATCATCATCGTCATCACCATCACCATCATCATCCTCATCATCACCATCGTCATCACCATCGTCATCACCATCGTCATCATCATCCTCATCATCACCATCCTCATCATCACCATCGTCATCACCATCGTCATCACCATCGTCATCATCATCCTCATCATCACCATCGTCATCATCATCGTCATCACCATCACCATCATCATCCTCATCATCACCATCGTCATCACCATCGTCATCATCATCGTCATCACCATCCTCATCATCACCATCGTCATCATCATCTTCATCCTCATCACCATCGTCATCCTCATCCTCATCCTCATCATCACCATCGTCATCATTATCGTCATCACCATCACCATCCTCATCCTCATCATCACCATCGCCATCATCATCGTCATCACCATCACCATCATCATCGTCATCACCATCATCATCCTCATCATCACCATCGTCATCACCATCGTCATCATCATCCTCATCATCACCATCCTCATCATCACCATCGTCATCACCATCGTCATCACCATCGTCATCATCATCCTCATCCTCATCATCACCATCGTCATCATCATCGTCATCACCAT